GTAACATTATTTAGAAAGAAAAGATTATTACTGTGTCGCAAATAAATAATATCAGACAAAATCTAATCAGTACGCTTTGTTAACTCAGCAATAGTTTAAAAATACCTGTTAAATCTATCTGCCAATTTGTGTAGGTACACATTTCAAAACGCTTTGTTTGGTGTTAATATTAGGACCCGTTTTACGGAAAAATATTCAGCCCTAAAAGGTTGTCGCTTCTGCCACCTTGCTATACTTCGCGGTCGAAATTATAGAGAGTGACTAATCGCTAGCTTTTGGACTAGTAAGGGGGATGAAGCGTACCGGGAACGAAAATCCATTGGCCTGTCTGCGTAAAAGGCAACAAGATATAGAAAATATTGAAAACAGATAATAAAACATAACATCTAATATTTTTTACGGTTTGCTATAACCGGCACTTTAATCAATTTTAATTATTACAGCATTTTAAAACATCCCAGTTGTGTTTTTTTAATTTATAAATTTATTATAGTCATGGAATTAGACTCCTCGTCTACGCTTATACTATGACGTTTCTCGGGACGGTTAAATCAAGTCCGTTTGCACCCAACTAAAAAAGCATTTCCCTATTCCCTACCAAGTGCAAAAGACAGAGATAGAATATAGATCGACGTTCAGTGTAACTCAGTCTATAGACGATTATAGATTCTATCGATGTGCGTAGTGAGCGGCACAAAGATAAATAATATTGAACCGTATAAAAATAATTTTATATTTTATACGCATTATGGTAATAGTGTTTTGATATTATGTCTGAATCACTATCTATAATTTCGACCACAGAGTATAGGTATTTGCCTTACATTGAACAATAACGTCTTATTCCATTGCAATTAGTACAGTGGCGGCTCTTGACTTCCATACCAGGGAGAGCAGAAAAATTTAGGTACAAAGCATTGAAAAAAAATCAAATATAATTGAGTAGTTTTATTTTAAATGCTACTAAAATAAAGGGAAACTGTAACCGTGACCACCACTGTAAACACTTTAAATTATATTTTTTACCTTGAAATGTTCTAGGGGGCGGCGCCCAGAGACCCCCCCCCCACACCAGCCGCCATTGTAGTATTCTTTTAAGGTCACTATAGTAAAAGCATTACTAAAACACAGGTGGTCATATGTATTCCACGTTTGTATTATAAAGACACTTTTAATAAAGGCAAAAATTGCTCTGAGAAACCGACCCTTAAATAATGTTCTTCACAAAAACCGGATACAGCAGAAATACGAAAAAAAACGTACCTAATACCGCTACACAACATTTGAAACCCACATTAACCCCATTCCAACGCATTATTCCTCCACCGTTTCCCATTAAAATCCCCGATCGGGCCGGCAAAAACCAGACTAATGTTCATAAATGAAGATTTTATTACGTCTGTCAATACAGAAGGACTCGGGCGTAATAGAGATGGAAAAAAAACAGGCCGTCCTGGGTGTATAAAAACGGACGTTGATGTAAGATTTATGCTCTTCATTTTTATCGCGCCAAAGGCACAACTCAATTTCTAGTCAAATGGAAACGAGCATCAAATTTTTTTTTCGAGGTGAGTGGACGGCAAAGTGTTTCGATTCCACCTGAGTTGTAAAATTGGCGTTATATGGGATTGACTGCCATGCAGTGGACAGCAGAAATTACATATTTTGTCAGTCAACAAACTTTGGCCGTAGTACAGGGTGTAAAGTAAAAGTGTTTGTTGTTAGGTGAACTATAAGTTTTAAAAAATAATTAAATATACAGGGTGTAATTACGTCAAACATGTGTCCGGAAACATTTCGTATCCTATATACAGGGTGTAAGAAGTTTGACTGCCATTACTTCTTCATGTAATAGAGTAAAAAAGTTATATATTACAAGATTAACAGTTTCCAAAATACAGCGAGTATAAATATTGGGCAGCGCTACACATCTGATGCACACCACGTGTGCACGAGGCAGACTTGTCCTACGGAAAAAATGTAATCAGCTATTGTGAAACATTTAGTAAATTTCAAGACAATTGTTTTCCAGTTTTTAAATAAATAAAATAAAATGTATCGATTTTGTAGTACGAAGATAGTGTTGTGCTTAAATTTTAACTCGAAATTTAGTAATTGTCTTATTATTATTTAGTAATCCCTTAAAACAGAAACTTAACTTTTAATCAAATTACGTAATTGAAAAATATGTAATTAAAGTACCTAAAGATTCACGTCGTCCAAATAATCATATGTATTAAAAATAATTTAGGTACCCACCAAAAAGCAAAAATAATTTTTAAACGCACAAGTACAAAACATACAATATATGTTCAAAATGTCCATCGCCATTTTCGATGCACGCACGACACCTTCGAATTCAATTTTCGCTGGAAAACACCTCAAGAAAAGGAAATAGTGATACCCAAAAAACACTTCCACACGGTGGAATCCAGATACGCTGAATTGCGTATTGGTCGTTGCTGAACACCTTAATACCTCGTGTTAATAAACCGCTGCGCCGTTGTCACATTGCTCGATATGAATTTTATCGAATTTTAAATTTATTACAACGCTAATTATTTTTTAGAATTAAGCATAAAGAAGTTCAAAAAAGTGATAAACATTGTATTTTATGGTATTCTATGCACGCAGTTACGACAGTATTCCTTAATTAATCGAACTTTTGTGCATCACGTTGAATATTTTGATAATTTTTTTCTCGGAAATGGTTGAGTTTAGGACCCATGTCATTTTTGTTTATTTTAATGGATTCTATCATCTGTTAAAATTAAGGCAGTCAAACTTCTAACGCCTTGTATAGAGGATGTCCGAAATTAATAAGAAAAACTATACCATGTTTCAAGTTGCATAAAAACAGTTGGGAGAAGCCAAGAAAATAATACTTTTTTCCTTCATAGATAATGTGATTTCTTGAATAATAATTATTTTATTTAACTTTTAACAGGAAATACCTACGCATGGTTTAGCATGCTATAATGTTTTGCCAATCTACACAATTTTATAGATACACTTACTTTTTTATAAATGTGAATTAAATTTGAAATAGCTTGGAAGAAAACAAAAATTGGAAGATTGAGAGGAAAAAAATGAGAAGGAAAAAATCTCCTTAAAAGTACTTCCTGTATGTAAAAAAAAATCATTCATTATTGTGTTGCTAGTGAATAATTAAAAATTAAAGCAGCTTGCCAAATTTAAATCTCGATCTCGAAATTAAAGCATTAAAGCAACAAACGTTTATAGAAACTTTTGTACTCAATTCTCTGCTAATCTTCAGAACCTAATCAATGTTACTTTCATCTAAATTTATTATGTAATGAGAGAAAATCAAATATTTAAAAGATACTTTCCTGTAAAACAAATGCTTTCAATAAATCAATACGGCTTTATATTTCCACAGATGCAGTACTTCCAATCTTCTGTGTCATACACTATTTGTTTCAGATACTCTAGATAACCATGACGGTGACTTCTCTAAAAGCATTTTTTCCTTTGACTCACTGCGCATTGAATACATCTTCGTCCTGTACCATCAACTTGAATCATAAAGAATGGAAAGTGCAAATAAGTCGAAAACGCTATAAAACTTTCGACAAAACACATCATTCAATCTATCGCAAAAACTTAATACATTTGGTTTTCGTGATGCTTTACTAACGTTTTTTTTATCTCAACCTTTTTCAGTCCTACTTTTTTATTCCTGCTTTCATTATTATGTGGAAATGCCTGACATACTGTATCCTATTGAATGCAAAAATCATTTCAAATCTAAAACCTATGAAACTGCATCGTAGAGTCCTCAGGGTTCGGACTTGGGTCCGCTACTGTTTCACCTATTCATTAACGACCTTGACAACATGCTAAATTGTGAAAGCTTATAGCTTGGTCTGTTAACAAACCCAACCCAAATCTGAATAAATTCTAAGTAACGTAGCTCTCGTTACTTTTCTTTCTTTTCTGAGTAATATTGTACTCTATATTTTGGTCAGATAGTACTATATTAATTGTGTAAGACTGTTTTTGTGTCGATAGGTTGAAATGTGTGCAATTTTATTTGCGATGTAGCTCTTTGTAAATAGATGTTCTTTAGTCTAGGAATAAGATCTTACGATTTTTTTTCTATTTGGTGCACAATTCTTGTAAGTCTTTATCCTTTTTTTCTGCTTAATATCGTTCTTTCTTTACATGAGTATGTATGTATATTATGAAGAGTTCGGAATGGCGAAGATATTAATGGCTTTAAACAGGATTTTAAGTTTTTTACTTAAAGAACAGGCACAATCTCTTTTTATATCGCTGCTGAAGACCTCGCTTTCTACTGGCTTGATCAATTTTCTGTTATGATTAAATCCTAGATATTTGTGTAATTCATTCATGTTTTTATTATTATTATCATTATTACTATTATTATAACATTTTCTGTTTTTTAAGATAGCTGCTCCTAATTTATAGATAATTGTGGACATCTCCAGCATTTCTTAGTTTGTTTCAGATTAACGACATGTGTCCAAGGAAGGCCATCGATATGATGAACCGACACACATGTGGCAAGTCCGACAAGGAACTCAGTATGGAGATAACATCAGCACTAACCGATTCCATAATATCAAGCGCCACTGCCCCAGAAACTGAAGTCAGCCAGATAAATTCCTCATCGTCTTCTTCGAAGGGCAAAGTCTGCTGCTGCAATATAGGTAAGCGCTCTCTTTGATACCACATCCAAAACAATCCCTTTGAGTAGGAAGAGTTCAAATGTTAAAGTAAATGATTCTGACAACTTAGTTAGTTAAAAAGAGATTAAGTAAGCATCCCACCACTATTCTATTTTTTCAGAAGAGCCTACTTATATCAAACAACTCAAGCAGCTAAGATGGGGTCACTTGAAGCATATTCAGAGGGAAGTTAGAAGGTTAGAAGACTTAGAAAGATTCTTAGATTCATGCTCTCTAAACCCAATATCGGAGATATAAATGTAAATAAAAGTCTAAAGAAGACCAAAGGGGTTTTATTACAAGTAGTATAAAAAATAATTTACAAAATATTACACTTAGGCTTATGTACAAATATATATACAACTATTTAAAAGATTTTACCTTACTATACTAAAAGAAATAAAAAGTAATAGATGAATTACGACTATATTTACAAAAGAATTTAATTTTTTTCTGAATAGTATTATTTCTCAACTTTCCTTTAGAATTCGTATGTACTCCACAGAACAATATTTAATTCCCTTTTAAGGTAGGTATTCATAATAAACATCATGTCAAGTTGTATTTAAACTTAAATGTTCTACGAATCTGTTTATCAAATTTTTCAAATCTATACAGGGTATCTCTTAATACGTTTGCCGAACTTCTACAGGATATTCCTTGGCTAAAAATTAACACACAAATTGAGAATTTTGAATCCATAAAAATATAGCAGCTTAAAGGATAACCTGCTGACAATTATTTTTTAAATGTGTTCTATGCCTGTCGAAATGTTAAAAATTTTGTACACATTCTAAGTTATTGATAACTTGATTTACCATTACTACCAAAAAAATGGATATGGATATTTGAGACATCTACGGAAATATTTATTTTATTGCGATATTACATATTTGACACCTAATAATACATGTCTCCTAGTCAATATAAACTAATTAATGTATGAAACAGTCATCTTTAATGTTCAGAAACATTTATTCGTTGTGAATGTTTGACGGTTTATAATTATTTTTACAAAACGTTATATTTTTAAATTTTACTCGAAAATCGTCTTCTTTAGCAAAATTCTTCAACTTCAATAGTTATTTCAGTTATCATTAGCCAAAAAAATTCGACGTTTGTAAATATGTCATCAATAGTTAAAAACATGTAGCAAATATGGTACCACTTCAAGTGGTTTAGCCATCTTCAACTTGTTTATATCAACTGTATGTTTTAATGTTGACCAAGAAGCACGCTGTAGAAGTTTAGCAGTGCAATAAGGAACACCCTACGTTTCTGGAAAGCTGAAAAAATATTTTATTTTCCGTTTAAATTACTTTTCCATCCTCATACATCATCAAGTATTAAACCAGAAGTGTTAACCAGTCTCAGAAATTGGATAATCAAATCTATCCCTGACTAAGCTGATTTCCTTTTAGTGTTCCTTTTGGCAATCCTCTGGATATTGGAACTGGAATTGGTATCAGGAACAGGACCTTCGTGGAAGGGTAACTTTATGTTTGGTGGGGGATCGAACTCTTTGTTTTTCAAATTTCTAGCCGAACTAGACAACTTCATCAATGCGGTAGGTGTGGTGTCCCTTTCCAGAGGTATGTATTTTGATGGTTCCATTGGAGAGAAAAAGTCCGATATGAATTTTGGAGTGAAGTTATTAACGAAAGGAAGGATTGTGTCTTTGGTGAAACGTTCGGCTTGTTGGAACATTTTCCCGATGTTTTCTGGAATGAACTGTACAGTACTTATGATGGCATCCAGGGGGTCTGGAGTTTTATGTTTTTTTACCTAGAAGAAATAAAAGTACTACTTTTATTTACATACTGTACAAATGTATAGTAGATACCATCACCAAGTCAAGTATTAAACCCTTGCACGAGAATTGATCTATAGAGAGGCATTATAAGAGTATTTTGCTTTTTAAAAGGAAAATGAGAGGATATATTATGAATTACAATGACATTAAAGAGAAAGTATTTCCGTTTCAATGCGCATTTGAATGCGATGCCAATAAATATTTAATACTACAAATGGCAGAAACTATAAAGCGATGTATACAACACATATAGGAGATGATCATAAAAGTGTGTTGCCTACATGGGAAAAGCGAAATTCTCTTTTCACTGTCATTGTCAATAAAATGTCAATTTTAGGAAGATTTTATGTACCAAATCCACATCAATGTTTTTAAATATTTGTGTAATAACTATCTTCATTTATGCTATTGATTTTTAAATCACTTTGATGCTAAAGTTAACTTCAAATGAATGTTACTCATGTAGATTCTTCATAGTTTATTAATTTAGCCAGTATTTCATCCTATTGAGTATTTTTTAGCAATTATTATTAGCACTCGAGTTTGAATCATTAAAGGAAATGCAAATAGAAATATTGAAAGAAAAAAATGTAAAACTAAGTAAGGTTTAGAAAAATCTTTTGAGCGTCATTAAGACTACTTTTATTCAGTAAAAAACAGTAACTAACAGAATATATACACATTGTTCTAAATTTAAATTAAAAATAAATTAAGTACGGAAATTTTTATTTATGTTAAAGGAATGTATTTAGTTTGCTTTTCGCTACCGTCGTACACAGGTAAATCTATGTATATTGCTTTAAAGTTCTTTTTTGTTGACCCCTCAACATTAGCAATTACACTCCCACCACCTTTACTAACATTTGAATCCTCCCTGGTTGGCCTGCTAATTTCCATCTTTATAACTGGCCTTTTTGTCGTCGACGTTGTTGTAGTTGCCTTTGTCGTCGTCGTCGTCGTTGTCTTCTTCGTCGTTGTCATTTTTTCCGTACTACTCAAATACTCGGCAGTTATCGAAGCCACTAGATCATCATTTCTCTTCTCTCCCTTTTTCCTTATTTTCTGTATATGAGTGTAAGGTGTTGTAATCTCATTAGTAGTGAATTCCACTGTTTTTGGAGAAGCAACATTTTTACTCATAAAATTTCGGCCCTCGTTCACGCTAGGGAGGGCAGGTTTTGTCGTGGTCTCCTCAAAACTCAAAGGCACGTATTTACGTTGGCTCTCCTGGGGGGCAATGAAATCACTGATAAACTTGGGTGTATAAGTGCTCACAAGAGGTAAGATCGTATTTCTGGCATACTTCTCAGCCTGCTCGAACATCCTACCAAGCCTTTGTGGCAGAAACTGGACGGTAGTGGCAATAGTTTCCAGTGGATTTGGTGGCTTGGGTTGTTCGAATCCAGTGAAAGTGGCTGATTCGTCTTCCCTCTTCCACTTGGTAGGAGCGTTTTGCGTTACAGGTATGTCTTTAGGTACCCACTCAGAACCCTCTTTGGTTTCGTGGTAACTTTTGTCGTCTTTTCCCTTGTAGCTTTTACTATCTTTATGTCCCGCTTTGACAGCATTTCTATTCTTCGCTGTAGTGGGTCCTAGAATAGGTTCCGTAATCTCGTGATTGTCTTTGTTAGGGTCATGGGACCTGGCGTTCTTACTAGAATGTGGTTTTAGGATAGGTTCTACTATTTCTCTAATTAATTCCTCTTCGCCTTCTTTATCGGGGTTGGGGATAGCCACCAACCTGGTGTTGAAGGCTCGACTAGATTCGGCTTCACTGTCTATTACATCGTTCTCCTTCTCACTTCTCCAAGGGATGTTGAAGATGTCCATAGCGCTCTTGATTGACAAGCTCGGTTTTTCTTTTTTGTACTCCTCTTCATCTAGTCCCGCTTTTACAACTTCCGTGGGGGTGAAGCCGTCTGTACTGTTTCTCAGGGTAGACTTAATTTCCTCTTCAATGTCATGAACTCTGTCTTCCGCTTCGTCATTGAAGGCGTCCTTGGGTAAGTTGCACTCCCCTGGATACAACGGTAGTGTCACGGGTACACCTGATTCCAAAATCAAGTTCTTCTTACATACCGATAAACTGAAATAATATTTACCGTTAGGACTTAAAACACCAAGTGATCATTGTCCAAACTTACACCTTTCCAAAGCTGTCCTGTAAAGTTATTTTGTCCAATCTCCACTGGGTAAGGCCTGATGATAACCAACCGCTGTAAGCTGTATACAAAACTTCTACTCTTGATGGTTGTGACAGAATTGGATGGGGTACAAGTATCCTTGATATTGAATCACCCAGCCTCATTTCTTCATCTTCCTTCCTGAACGTGAGAAAGACTTGTTAAAATGTTACTTCGCGATAAATGAATTGCACTCACCTTGTCATCATGAATGTTTCGTTTAAGAATGACTCGCCGATCAAGGTGATTTGAATTTTTCCGTAACTCTTTATTGGAATGAAGCTCGGCGAAGTTTCTATTTTCACGTTATACTGATGTGCTACAAAATGTAAAAATGTATTGTAGACCACGACTAGTTTGTACTGAATTTACCACAAAATGGTTCCTCGTCTCTGGTTACGAGATATAACTGCCCTCTGCCTTTAGACCTGTCTGCGTAGTATCCCATGTTACCGCAAGTTCTGTAAAAAAATGTAGAATTTGTGTTTCCAAATATTGCTATACACAGGGCGGTCCCGAGGTAATCAGCCGAATAAAAAATATTGCGATTTAGCCGAACTTACTTTTGTCCAAATGTTGATAGTTAGAGACACAGGGTGTTAAATCTATAATATTTTTTCTTGTTTTTGTGTTTTTTTTTTTCATTTATTTCTTAATATCCACACAAAATTTTGGTGTTTGGGGTTCTTTGGGTCGAGGAATTGAAATTTGTTCACATTTTGGTTATAGTTCATGGAGGGTGCTAACTGCAGTAGATTGAATGTGGTAAAAGCGACATAACATTTTTATACTTTTTGGCCCATTACCTTAGGATCACTCTGTATATACATATTGATTTAATTTGTTCACAGCTGATTATTACGTAGACATTTAGTATCAAATTTGAATACAACAATAATCGTGGAGTCAAGATAGCTTAAAATTACGCATTATTTCGAAATAATTATGGGAAGCATGGATTTTCCTAAAACCTATTGAAATTACTTGGAGATAAGTATTAGAAAAAAGTTATAAACTTATTTTTGTACGCTAATTGTTTTTAATTGTTTAAACAATAATAGATAGTTTTTTTAATAACATTTAAAATAATTCAATGAATTTTAAATCGAATTCTTTCAAATTGACAGTATAGGGGTTTTCGATGTCTCTGAACAAGAATATGAAGTCGGAAAATGAAAATTCAAAATGGCTAATCCAATATGGCCGACTACTTTAAACAATTTATTTAACAATTATCGATTTTAAATCAAACTCGCTCATATTTGTAATATAGAGGTTCGAAAAATGAAAATTATAAATGGCTAGAGGTTTTATTGAAAACATGTTTTATTTTTTAAAAAACAAATTTATTACAAAATAATTAATTTTTAAATCTCAGCGAGTTCTTCAAAAATAACTGGGCAATTAAGGCAATCAATGCCAGCACAGGAAGAACATGCTGCAGTGCAAATCAACCCTGCTTTCCTTTAAATACAAAATTACAAAATCAAAATCAACGTCCCCTATTATTTATTTATTCAAAAATTATTTTAAAAATGGATCAATATTCATATATAAATATTAAACTCATACATTTACAGGTTAAGCATAAAAGAAAACGAATATAAATACCTTAAATGCAAACTGAAGATTATTTGTAATATTAAGTAATAGTATTACATTAAAGAATTACAAGTGTACGAGAGTATAACCTCGAAATGGACAACATATGTGAATAATACACTTTTTAACACACTGATAACTGCAGTTTACTCGAAAACATGAAAATCATATTCTTATACCATTTATAATAATAATGATTTAATTCGTATAAACGAAAAACGTTTTTAAAATAAATAAAACTGTAAATAACAAAACCGTTGGATTGCTCACTCAAAACCCTGCAACTTTTGAGGTTCCAAACTTTTTGAACATCCTGTATATATTAGATTCGTATCTGTGTCTACATCAATAAGAGAACAATTTTCACAATTTCAGATACAGAATATACGTTTTAAAAATGAATATTAAATCAATTCATCAAAAAACATTATTCTTTTGCTGTTATAACAATTTTCCACTTATTACTATAAATAAAAAAATTATTTTTAGCTGGATTTACTTTTTTTAAGGTCTTAACTTAACTCTTTGATGGTTTATTAAACAAAAAAAAATTGTTTTTGTACATTATTAAACTTTATTTAACAATAAATTTCACGGATTTTTCATGAAATACTTATTTTAATTTTCTGTTATTTTTTGTTTTTTCAACTATTATTTCGATTTTTTAAGAAACATAAAATGCACCATCTTAAAGTAGAGATTTTAAGCTTTAAAAAGTGCTCTCATAAAGTTTCAATATCACATTTACAACTATAGTTTTTGATCTATAAAGTATGGCCTAAAAAGTCAAATTTGTGAGTTTTTTAAATTATTGAATGTGTTGGGCTCAATAGTTTTCAAATTAAATTTTTAAGATTTTTTCCATATCGCTCACTGTTTCAATCGTCATTTGAAGAGTAATCTGTGAAAGTTACAGATATTTATTTTAAAAATTAAAAGAATGACACCTATTTTAATATTATTGTACAAAATTATAGAATGACGTAACTTTGTACCTATGTACTATATACAGGGTGTCTCATAACTAGCTGCCAACCCTGAACAGGCCGATTCTATGATCAAAACTAAGTAAAAAAGTTCATATGAACATGGGTCCAGAAATGCTTCCTAAGGGCACAGGGACCCATTGAAGAGGGAGGAATGGAAATCATTTTTTTGCAATATCTCTCAATCGCGTTGTGACAAATGAATGAAATTTGGTATACACAGCTAAATTTTGATGAGCAATTTGATGGACTAATCCATTTATTTCCACAAGGTCTATTGGGGTGGGAACGGGGGGGGCTTGGTACTTTGCGTGTGTAACTTTTTCATCTTTGACTTTTTAACAAATTGGACAGCAAATTCCGTTTTCCCGAACTGTTTTACGTTAAAAAGGTACTCTTGTTTCAAATCGTTATCTTTAACGGTTTCTGAGAAAATCGCTCTTGAATTAATCCCACTTTGCGTCAATTTCATAGTAATTTAAACAAAACATCTTTTCCATTTAAATGATTAATTTTTATTTAATTTAATTTTTTATTATTATTTTTTTATTAAAATTAAATTAAATTTAAACAAAAAATTTTTTGTTGTTTAAATTACTATGAAATTGACCAAAGTGGGATTAATTCAAGAGCGATTTTCAAGTTTAAAGACATAAAATTCTAATAGCCGGATGACTCTTCTTTTATTTAAATTTTTGTGAGGTCGATTTGATCAGCCTTCAATTCGCATTTTAGAAAAAAACTTTATTAACATTTTTTATGTAAAATTTCCTGTTCTTTCGAATGGGCAATTAATTTTTTTTTTAATTGTATTTTTTAATATATTTTACAAAAACTGTAATTTTGCAACTAATTTGTTAAATAAATAATTTAGCGCACACTCTACAGTTGGCAACATTTTATATGTTGTTTCTGACAACTTTACAAAGCAAAAAATAAAAAGTTCTCTCTTCCCGTAATTTTCGCGAAGTCAAAATCTATCTTGACTCCACTATAATAAAGTAAAATTTTAATGCTTGTACAGTTTCTGATTTACTGACACATTATTTCTGAACCTAACTAATGCATTCAAGACTCCAATATCCTAAAGTTAAACGAACGAATAATTTTCGTCCGAATCGAGTTGATTTAACAATTTTTACCTCTCATCGGTGCAAGGGAAACATTTTCCAGCCAGAAAATCCTCGTACGAATCACAGGGGAATGCGGGAAAATGACATCTCGGAGAGACCGAATCTATAAAGAACTTGTAAGCTCTCCTGTGATTGCACAGCGATCTTCCTTCCACCGCTGACGCTGAAACATTAAAAGTATATTACTGGAAGATTACGGGGCATGAAACTAAGAGGATTTATTCCAATTCACTTATCTATTCAGCTGATATTAAAAAGGGAATAATATGTGAAGTGCCCTGTGGCTGCTTAAAGCTGACTGGGCGTTTCTTTTTCTATTATATATTTTTAAAATGTCAAAGGTTATGTTCAAGATCCAGGTTCAGGATAAAAAACCGACAGGATGTGATTACATTTTATACATAAATTACTGGTACTGCCGAAACCAGTGGAGTACTTAATATACTATTATGATAAATAGAAATTACCTGGGAAAATTTAATATATTGTGCCATTTGGAATTTGAAATTGAACCTGTACCTCTCAAAAACAGAATCTTTGAAAAAAATAATCTTTATAATAATAAGTACGCACCTAAAGTATGGAATAAATTCAGTAAAAATCCTCGAACAGGTCGATTTTTAATTTAAAAAATATATATTTTAGCATAAAAGTCGATTTTCAATCGTCATTTCTTTTCGAGTAATGACGTCATCGACATTTTTTTTAATAGCAACCCCCTATTTTTTTCCTTGATTCTGAAAGATCGTTTCATTGTCGATTAAAATGTTGCCATCTTACATAGGAAAGTTTTCGAGTAAATGACGATTTAATGTTAGAAAACGTAAATTTTATTCATTAAAAAAATAACAATTCCTATGTCAAGTAAATACAATTCATTAAGTTTTCTACCTAAATTAAGTGCCACCCACCGACTTCTTGACAATACGCAAGTCTGTGTAGAAATTCTTCTTGCACATGATGAATTATTTCTGGGGTATTTCATCTATAATAAATTTTGGAGTTCTAAATTATGTGGTCTATTAACGTACACTTTCGACTTTAAGTAGCCCCATAAAAATAGTCCAGGGGTGTAAGATCTGGGGATCTCGCGGGTCATTCCATCGGTCCTCGTCTGCCGATCCACCTCCTAGGAAAACAATTGTCCAGAAAATCTCGAACAGGGCGCGCATAGTGCGGAGGTGCACCGTCTTGCTGAAACCATATGGTGTCATCAGGAACATCAGGGTCATTATCGTTAGGAAAAATTACTGCAAGCGCTGGAACAAGGTCATTTTGTAAAAACTCTAAATATCTTTCTCCTGTAAGGATTCCTTCAAAGAATATAGGCCCTACTATTCTGTTGTCAACTATTCCAGCCCACACATTTAATTTCTGTGGAGATTGGGAATGTGTCTCTGCCATCCAATGAGGATTTTCCCGACTCCAATACCTGCAAGTTTGACGGTTCACCGTACCAATGAGACAAAACGTGGCCTCGTCTGAAAAAAGTATTTGCCGGTGTAAATCTCTATTTACTTGACATAAATTATGTGGTCTATTAACGTACACTTTGGACTTTAAGTAGCCCCATAAAAATAGTCCAGGGGTGTAAGATCTGGGGATCTCGCGGCCATTCCATCGGTCCTCGTCTGCCGATACACCTCCTAAGAAAACAATTGTCTAGAAAATCTCGAACAGGGCGCGCATAGTGCAGAGGTGAACCGTCTTGCTGAAACCATATCATCAAGAATATCAGGGTCGTTATCAACCAATCGTGAAGTATTACAAGGATTATCTACCATACTTATCAAAATGTTCTGTTTGTGATCTTCACTAACGCTTGGACGTCCAGGTTTTGGAATATCTACAACATTGCCAGTTTCTCTAAATTTAGATTCTATCTTACTGACTGTCTGGATGTTTTTCATTAAATAAATCGTAAACTTCCTGCTGCGTTCTAATCTTATCCCCGCATCCGATAAAAATTAAAATTGCAATTCTTTGTGTGACAGTTAAATGTGACATAATACTTTAAATTCAACAATAATTTTTATATCGCTTACAATAGGCTTTTTTTCGCGAGTGAAGTCGTATGTTGTAGTATGTGTAGTATGAGTGAATATTACGTTTTTGCGAGAATAGTCAGTCATTTAAACTACTATGTGACTTTACAAGTTTAGATCAAATGACTGAACTCTTCACCCTTCAGCTGAATATTCTGTTGGTATATTCAACTAGTATTGTCAGCCGGTAACGTAACCTTTTTCTTTCTGACATATTGTTTGAATGAGGATAAAAATCGTTCAGCAAAATGATGGATTCTGATACGACTGTGGAAGTGTTCAGTTTAAATTTAAACTTTAGAGGCACAGATGTTTTAGTAAACGTAGACGTTACTTAATGGTAAGATTAATTTTTTATATGGGACATATTTGCGATCCACTTTGCTTCAGGATTATCCTCTTTTTTGTGACCTAGGCCAGAGATAATATTGGTGGAATCATTCAGGTCTTTTTCGTATGAATTACATAAAAAAACAAATAAATGATATAATTCTCTAAACTTATAACATAAATAAGGAACATCATCATCCTCATTCCACAAAAATATCAAAAAATATAGAGCCATGTCACAATTTCTGTTTTGTAGCCATTGACATAAATGACCAAATTCCATTCTCTTACGATAACGATTGTGTCGAATATTCGCATATCTTGCAACATCAGAATCTACATATTTTTCACGTTTTTTAAATTTGCCACTTAAAAATATTCCAAAGAAAGCATTGATATATTCCTTCAGTTTTATTTGAAGCAAATACATATATTATATAGTGTGATAACACCAATTCCCACAACACTAGATTACTGGAAGCAATAAAGGATGACAAATTATGGTTACTGGTTAGAAGTTAGAACCCATATGTCAAAGTCGTCAAAGTACATATGACAGGCTGCACCACTGAATAGTGAATATATACATTTTCGCGATCTGTTCAGGTTAGACAAGGTTAGAAATAAGATTAAAAGAGATAGAAACAGTAACTACAAGTCAGACGTAGTCACCAATATTCACTCGCGAAAAAAAGCCTATTACTTAGAAAGTCGGTATGACAGTGACACTTTGTAAAGATTTACACCAACGTAATCCATAAAAAACTTCAGGCATTTCGAAAAACTAAATTTGATAACGTTTTTGCTTTATTTTAATTGATTTGGGTTTTCTAACATTCAATCGTCATTTATTCGAAAACTTTCCTATGTAAGATGGCAATATTTTAATACTGTCGGATCGACAATGAAACGATCTTTCAGAATCAAGAAAAGAAATAGGGGATTGCTATTTAAAAAAAATGTCCGTGACGTCATTACTCGAAAACAAATGACGGTTGAAAATCGCCTTTTATTCTAAAATATGTATTTTTTAAATTAAAAATCGACCTGTTCGAGGATTTTTCCCAAAAAAAAATTGTTTCGTTATTACTGACTTCATTCCATACTTTAAGCGCGTACTGTATAATGAATGGGATATTGTGTAAAGTTACTTATTTGTGGCATAATTTTCGTTATTTTATTTACTTATTTTTTGGGAATTTTGCCACCTTTGAAAAAAAATTTTTTTAAGTAATGAAATAATCCTTTGTCTCAAAAGCATAAGTTAAAGGTTATTTTTATTATTAGAACATTGGAAGTAATCAATTTATTTTCTCATTTTCCTGATTCCGAAGTTATCACTATGAAAACTGTGACAGCCTGTACCGGGTGATTTTCTATTTATATAATGTCCGCCCACGTTAACTTGTTTATTTAGGGCAGTAAAATTTTGTAAAAATCTGAGTTTGTAGGATTTTTCCTGTACTTTTTGCACAAATATTTGAAAATTGATCAAACACAGGATATACAAAATATTTTTTTAAATGGGACAATATATCTGAATTAATTTATTTATTCTTCATTTAATTGTAAGCATTTTTTTTATATAAAAAGTCATATACTCAAAGTCAAAGTCGCTATTTGAAATATTAGCAATTAAAATTTGGAATTTAAAATTTTAAGTTCTTATCTAGTAGCAATGGATATATCAATAAAACTAACAGTGACAGTAACTTCATCAAGTAATTCAAAAAGTATCGAATTTTTATTAAAAATGCCATATTTGCAAAGAGAAAAACAAAAAATTTGAAGTTCATTTATTCGAAACAACTATAATGCCGCAGCAACGCAACGAGACTTAACTCGAGAAAATCCAATAATGCACGCTCCTTGCAAAAAAAAATAAAAGGATATTCGAAAAATTTCAACAAACTGATCAGAAAGAAAAGAGTGGTGCAAGATAACGAAGATGTACACTTAATATATTACGTTTTATGCGAGAAAATCCAAGTATAAGGCATATTTCAAAACGTTTACAAGAATGGAATGTCCGTGATACATCTCTGGGTACACATGTCTGCAATTGACCCATTTTAAGTATTACGTCAAGAGCGCCAGCCTGACACCGCCCGAATTAGTCTCCCTGCAAGGCGGGATATGGTTCCCGGAAGAGGACCACAGCAGATTGGCGCCAATATTCAACAGTCCAAAAGACTCTTAAGAAAGCTGGTTACAAGCCTTTCAAGATCGCATCCACTCCAAAACTGACACAGACGCATAGAGCAAAGAGAGTAGAATTTTCCCGCCCTATGATTGAAAGAATAAATGATAATCCCAACTTTTTAAGAAACGTTCTGTGGAAGGAGGAGTGTAACGAATGGCATTGTAAATAGAAAAAATACCAGTTATTGGGCTACAGAAAACCCATACTGTTACAGAGAATTTAGATTTCAAGGGCGCCAGTCCGTTAACTTTTGGTGCGGTCTAATGTATTACAAAAACTTGAATGGGGACTATATTTAAACTTTCCCGAAAACTACTTTCTAGATTAATTACTTTTGCAGCATTTTGGACATGTTATATTCCAGCAGGACGGAGCCCCACCCCATAGCACCTTAAGAATGAGAGACCACTTACACCAACGTTTTGACATATTGGATTGGTAGATGAAATGCACCAATTAACTGACCAGCCAACAGTCCAGATCTTCTCCAATGGATTGGGATGTTTAAAAAATCCCAGTTACCAAAATCATATTGAGAATATAGAACATCTATCTAAAACAACTAATTAGAAACGAAATAAATGAATTAAATGAAACCCATTCAAATTTTGTTAAGAGGATCTTTGGAGAAACTTCGAAGAACATTACTAAAACGCACGATGAAAACCCTGTGGAGCAACTCAATATTTAAAAACATTGATTTTTATATGATGATAACGATAAATAAGTGTCCTATTTAAAAAAGTATTTTTTTGAGCTACTCTAATATCTAATATGTTTGATCAACATTCAAATACCTGTGCAGAAAATACAGGAAAAATCGTACCTGTTCACATTTTTACAAAATTTTACTGATCCAAATAAACAAGATAAGGTGGGTGGACATAGAAAATCGCCCAGTACAAGAGTGTAATCAAATGTTACACTATTCCAGCATAAAATGACACTGACAAATAAACATTTTAACTTGGAACATGACATACCTACTCTGATTTAAAATTTTTAAAATTTCTAATTACGCTATAACTTGAAAACAAGTGAAATCGCATAACATTTGTGTTTTTTTTATTATTTTGACATGTAAAATCCATTCCTGGAGTTTGATACGATCCTCCCATCTCATCCTGTATGCACAACTCTTATTGAGCGTGAAAAGTTCGGTAATAAGGAAAGTGTTGAGGAAACGGTCATCCAATCCATATAGAAAATTGTGAACAGCCCTTAAGCAACCAACAACAGGACAAGCTGCTAAACCTACAAACAAACCTAAAGGAGAAGAAAGAAAGATTCTGGGGGTTGTAAAAAATTTGATAGGAACGATGAAAATTTCATCTGTTGCAAAACTTGTGTGACATACTGTATAAACAATGGATAATTTACTGAGACGTCAAGTAGGTGACATGAAAATTAACAATGCTGTTGAAGTGACTTCAACGCATTGGTTTTAAATTTAAAAGGGTCGATAAAAAACAAGTTGTCATGAAAAAGGAAACAAATTAAACAATTGTGATTTGCATCATCAAAGAGAGGAGACAGAATAATAATAACACATACTGGATCCGAAGATAATCGGGTGGCTAATGTATTTAGCTTATTGTATTTATTATACTTACTAAATACGATCGTATTTTTTTATTAAAAATTGATTGTAATGTATAAAAAGGTATTATTATTTGTTTGTACTTTATTAATTACGCATTGTTGTAATTATCTTCAAATTATGCAAACTACTGATAAGAATAATTTATAGTTCCACTTCTAAACATCCTCCCAGTATCTAGCTAAATTGAAACAAATCGTAATTTGAAACTTGCCACTGTTACACTTTCATACATAACATATTCGCACAGGTCAACAAATATAGGAAAAGTCCTGAGTGATAATTAAAAAAGATAACCCATTTGAAGGGAAACAGATAAAGTTTACCATTGGGTGTTAACAGAATGGACTGAACTGTACTTGTTTGGAAACCTATAATAAGTTTATTTTAATACTATTAAAAAAGAATAGTGGACTAATGCACTTATATATCTTTTTTCTTCATTATTATGTCATATAATTAGTGAGACCTAAATAAGCGTCAAATTATCGTAAATTGCGTATTTTATTTCATCAGTGAATTCACACATTACGCTGGAATTATATTCTATGGTTGCCTAAATAGTTCCACTGTTAAAAAAAAAGAACTTGGCTAAATAGGTCTACTGTTAAAAAAAAAAGAAAAAAAATAACTTGACTTAAAATATGACTATTTTCAACACAAGACGAACATACACATATATAGAATGACTTCAACCATCTACTACAAATTCTACTTACACCAAATAATATCGCTAACAGCGCCAACGAACAAATGACTGCACCCTTTCTGCATCCTTCCACCATTGGGATAGAAGTCCACGTGCCCCATAGGTTGTGACGAACCCAAACCGCCTAATATTAAATTCTCCCCATTGCTGTGTATCACATCCACAAAGGCGGCATCGTTTTGATCCAATCTCGCTCTGGGATCTTGGGATTCGAAGAGAGGTCCTGCAGGATCCAGTCCTTGAAAGAATTGAGAATATATATGTTAGCTCTAGTAGTTCAATTAGTTAATATGTTTTTGACCTACCCGTAATCCTACTCAAGTTTCCCAAGTCAGCTCCTGCAAATCCTGCAATGTGGGCACCCAGACTGAAACCAATGATGTGGGTGTTCCTCAAGGATAATCCGTTCTTCTCTACGAGACCTCTGAGTAACAAGGATAACTGTTTCCCGACCAGCCTGGTATTTGCCGAAGCCTTGACATAGTTTGGCAGTGAAGCGCCGTTGCTCCAATCGACGCAAATTATGTTTACCTCTTCCTGGAGGAAAAGAAGATAAAAGGATCGTTCGCATTAAAAAAACAATTAAATAACCTCAACGTAGCAATTATTGCATAAGGAATTACTAAGTTTCAAAAAGATCTTACCACTGCCATAAGGGCACTTCTTATCTCATACACCCAAATATAACTGCAATCGCTTCCAAACCCATGGATCAGAACCTTGGTGGGCAAACTCTTATTAAAACCTTGTTTGGCCCACTCGAACGCGTCGTCCAATTTTTCAAAAGGTACTTCTGCCGGTGGAGAACCACTTCTCTTCCTGCTTCTTCCAGGGAAAAGCATAAACTTGGTGTTTATTTCTTCCGGTTTTCCGGGAAGCATATCCAGGTAGCCAAAGGGGCCTGATGCCTCAAAGCATCCTAGATCTGGATAGCAGACGCTAGTGTCCTCTCTTTTCGTCCTGTGAAAAAAAAATGAGGTTCATTATATGTAAATAGTTTTTTTTAAATTATGTGGTATAACAATAGACCCGTTTTGTTTTATAATCAGAAACAACAAACCATCCTTAACTGGTTTATTGTTTTAATAAAATTTTTAAATATTTAATATCTCAGTGAAGGTTCTTTCATAACTGAAGAAAAAAACTATTGAATAACTAAACTAATTAAAATAATTTGTTTCTTGTTATTTCGATTAACTATGGATTACATAAATATAAAATAAATATCAAGGATACTTTGCTAATGATTGCTCTTCACATAATATTTTTGAAAATATTAATTAGTTCGTTTTTCTGCTGCGTACTAATAGGCTATTGAGTATATAAAAAAAAAGGGTTAAAAGGAACTATGACGATCAAGCAATTTTATTGCATGAATCGTTCAAATTGACATTTTAGATGAAAAAACTGCGGAGTGCTATTAAATTAGAGGATGGAAATTGGATTCAGTTTTTTAATAATAGCTCGAAAACAAAGCAAAATTTCGCTATAGTTCATAGGAAAAATTATTTCTAGAATTGAATTTCCTATCGAAATTTCTTATTTAAAAAATTTTAAAGGAAAATTTTATGCAAAAAATCGTTAATAAACAATTTGAAAAAAAGCAAAAAATTCGATTTTTTAACTTTATTTTACTTTTTTGCCTCTAGTTTTTTTTGTGTATAGATAGGTATAGGCATTGTAGATAAAAAAAAGTAGATAAAATTTCCTTCAAAATAAGAGGTTGTAAAGTATTTTTGGATGAAAATTGACTGATATATGGCCGCTCAAACTTACAATCAGCCAATTTTTCCCAAATTTCTCGGCTTATTTAAAAAATTTGAAAGAAAAATTTTATGAAAAAAATCGTTAATAAACAATTTTTAAAAAAACAAAAAATAAGATTTTATTTTAATTTTTTACTTTTTTGACTAAGTTGTGAAAATCTTTATTTATTATTAACAAATAAAACTTTTGAAATAATTTTTTATTAAGTAAAGAACGAATTTGTTGTAAAAATAATAAGAATTATAATCATTATTATGTTAAAAACGATGAAAATCTAAAAAATATTTAAGTTTGACTGTTATAACAGTTAATATTAGTCCAAAAACTAATAAAAAAAGTTAAAAAAATGTTTTTTTACTTTTTATCTTTTTTAAGTAAAGATTGCTTCATAAAAAAACAGTAGATAAAATTTCCTTCAAAAAACGAGTTTGTTTGAATTTTTTAATGAAAATTGACGGATATATGGCCGCTCAAACTTAGTAAATTTTTCGATTTTCGTCGCATTACCCTTATATGTTTTAATTCTCATTTTTTGCAAAAAGAAAGGAAACAAGACGTTCAAGGATTTTCATCACGTCACTTGTTCAAAGGGTAATTAAAAATGAAAAAACTGCTGGGTGCTATTAAATTAGAGGGTTGAAATTGAAGATAGGGGTGAAAATACACTTTTGCAGTTTTTTAAATACATATGGTTCATTTAAAAAAATTAGAAGAAACATTTTATGTAAAAAATCGTTAACAAACAATTTAAAAAAAGCAAAAAATTTGATTTTTTATTATTTTTTTTACTTTTTTTGACTCACTTTTTTGTAGAAGTAGGCAAAGAAAATTGCTTTACAAAAAAACTAAATAAGATTCCCTTCAAAATGATACATTTTCAAAGGTTTCTGGACTAATATTGACAGTTGTAACCATTCAAACTGAAATATTTTTTAGAATTTCGTCGTTCTTAACATAATAATGATTATAATTCTTATTTTTTTTTAAACGAAGTGGTTCTTTACTTAATAAAATATTATTTGAAAAGTTTTATTTGTTAATAATAAATAAAGATTTTCACAACTGTATGAAACTTTGAGAGATTTTTCAAATGAAATTACAGTTTATCATACTATATTTCTTTTTTACTATCTCAAATAAGGAGATTTATAATAAGATATAAATAATTTAATTTAAAAGCTACTTATTAATTATACTAAAATATTGGTAAAAATAATTTGAAATGTAGTTCATTTCTGTTTCGTTACAAGTCTACAAGGTCGACTTTTACCGTTTTTTTTTGTAAAAATAATACATATTATTATCATTATTATGTTAAAAACGACGAAAATCTAAAAAATATTTAAGTTTGACCGGTTATAACTCACTCAATATTAGTCCAAAAACCTTTGAAAATGCATCATTTGAAGGGAATTTCATCTAGTTTTTTGTAAAGCAATTTTTTTGCCGACTTCTACTAAAAAAAAATTACAGTAAAAAAGTAAAAAAAAAGATCTAATTATTTGCTTTTGATTGATTTGATTGATTAACGATTTTTTACATAAAATGTTTCTTCTAAATTTTTTAAATAAACCATTTTGATTTGAAATTCAATTCTCTACAAAATTTTTCCTATGAAATATACCGAAATTTTGTTTCGTTTTCGTGCTATATTTAAAAAACTGCAAAATTGCATTTTCACCCCTATCTTCAATTTCCACCGTCTAATTTAATAGCACTCCGCGTTTTTTTTTATATAAAATGACCGATTGAGCGATACTTGTAATAAAATATCTTGAACGTCATAGTTCCTTGTAAAATCCTATAATCAATAGCCTATAAAGTAAACAACATTTATTAGTTTACACGTTGTGAAAAAAATAAGTAATAGGACAATATAAAGGTCTAATATAATTATCTTAACGTGATAGTTCATAGTTGTCTTCAGTTTGCAAAAATTAAAAAAAAACTTTATCATTATCAATTTTAATGTGCTGAAATGTCACAAGTAAAATGGTGGTATACAATACAAGTAAAATTTGAAATTCATTAAACGAATTCAGAAAAGACCATATTTAGCTTTTCAGGTGTTTTTCGACATATTCTGCGGAACCCTCAGCCTTGGAAAATATTTTCCTTTAAATAAGCAAGAACGGCTTCAAGGTATCGAAAGGCAACGAATTCGGGATGTGTTTCTGTTCTGGTTATAGAACTGCAAAATCCCAGAGTAGACGTTCGATCCTGTTTTATGGTGGCTCTGTCAATTCACCGAGGCTGCTCTTCAGTATAAATCCTGAAAACTAGCCTCTCAGAACTCGGGAATCATGGCCGTTGCCTTGACGCCGTGGAATCTGATTAGTATCTTAGATGTATGCAAGGCAATTCAATCTCGTGTACCAGCTAACGTTTTCATTGGTGGTGCTGCCAACAGCTTATGTCGTCTGATACGGCTTGAAGTATTTAGAGCGGTTTTCGAGTCTGTGGTTAATTTCAGCGGCTGAATTCAAAACATGGGTGATAATTTCGATTCGAAACATAGGTGAAAATTTCGATTTCCGCTCAATGTTTTAGTTAGGTACCGTCGAACTTCGTAGGTCAGATTCGAAAGTATAGTGAAATCTGAAACACTTAGAATTCGACAACATCATTTGCTATATCTTCGATATGCCGATCACGATTTTGTGTTCAGAAAAACGGGTACAATTTTGAGTATTTAATGTAATTTTAAAATTCGTCTTCACATTCACTTATACAGAAAGTAAGAAAATTTACACACCAATATTTAAAATGATTAATTATTGTAAATTAAAAACTCCTATCTTTTGATTAACGTCTGGCGGTTTTGCAAATATAAAATGATAATTTTATGCGTCAACAAATACACGCTGATTTCTTTTGGAAATTGGTTGGAAACATAAATTTAAATCATTTCGAATGGAATAGATCCAGTTTTTAAACCAAAGCCTTCAATTACAAGAGCTTTAAAGAAAATCGTTTCCTCCCACATGCATTTTCTCTACTTAGCAACTGAGCTTGTTCTCCTTCTCGTATACCCATTGTTATTCTGTTGTTTCGGGGTTGCGGCAACTGTTTTCTATTACATTACTAAGCCTACTTTATAATGAATGCCTTGAACTAACGAACGTTCCACAAGTTGGGAGATATCAACAGGAACTTGTCAATATTTGAGCCTTTCTAAGTCCCAAGGCATATCTATGGAGGCGGGTTAGTTTGTTTATGTTGGTTTAATTCCGTGAAAGGAGCGTAACGGGAGCAAAGGATAATATTCCCGACGTTTCATAGTACACAAATATATCTTAGCTTTGTCGTTGCCGGTAATTCGACTCTGGAGCTGCAGAGATAAGTTAATTTGATATCGCTGATTCTGACAAGTTACCGAAAGAGCGTCTCGGATTAAATATGAAGACCATTCCCCGCAAGTCGTCTGTGGCAACAAATGACTGAGAGAGCCAAGTTCTTAGGTTATTTTTAAAAATGAGTCGTAAGAGAGCTATGACTGTTCGAAGCTGGTCGCTGACAATATAGCTCTTTATTTTATATCTCTAGAATCGCTTTATACAGTGTGTTACTGATATGTTTTGCCAAACTTTAAAGGCGTATTCTACCCATGAAAATAATCAACTTTTGTTCTATAACAATTTTTGATAGGACGCTTCCCTACGGAGATACAGGGTGTTAAAAGTTTCAAATATTTATATAATTTTTCCTGTAACTTCACTGACAAAAAAATATTTAGTGATAAAATTTGGGGGATGACATTTTTTTAGTAGGGACTATTTTTTCATGGATAACTTATTTCAATGTACACTCCAGTGGCGTAGTTATTAGGGGAGTAGGGGACCTTTCTTGAAAAAAAATCGTACGCCACTGGTTTTTTAAATAGTTTTGAATATTTTTAAAATGTACAATCAATTTGTGGCAATAAAGTATTCTTGTAAAGTATTCGTAAAATTGAATGGTCTTTAGATAATGGGGAAATAAATATAGCGTCCGATCAAAAATTGTTATAGGGCAAAAGTTGATTATTTTCATCGGTAGAATACGCCATTAAAGTTTGGCAAAACTTATCATTAACACGCTGTATATAGATAATTAACTTTGCGACACTAATTTACTGTGAATGAAGTATTATAACAATAATATCCACATCAACACTGTCACATTGATACCAACTCACCAAACTTCAAACCAAA